ACACACACACACAATGCATTTTGCTTTGTAAAATGCGAGAAGCTGGCAGTGGAGTGGGGGAAAAAACGCAAAGTCTCGACAAACTTTTTTTTTTTTTTTTTGAATTTTAACCATTTTTAGAACTATGGAAGCCCATTTCCACCATGGAATAAAAAAATAAGGTAATTGCGACTTTTTATTTGTGACTATTCTGACCTCCTTTCTCTCTTTCTTTTTCTCTTTGCGATAAACTCAGAATAAACTCCCAATTCTAAGTAAAGTCAAATCTTGTAATTCTGACTTTTTCTTCTCAGACTTGCAAGATTATAAGTTTATATCCTGACTTTTTTTCCCCTCAGAATTCTGAGTTTACATCTCACAATTCTGACTATTTTCCTCTGAATTCTAAATGTACGTCTCAGTTCTGGCCATCAATAAAAAATTGTAAAAAGGTAATTTTGCCCTTTTCACATTTTTGACTTTTTTTTCTTGCAATTGAGTCTTCGCCAGAGTTTGACAGGTGATCTGACCAATCATAACGCCAAATCTGCCATTTTGTCCAACAAACAAAGCCAGACAGTAGATACATGTCAGTGGACTTGAACTTGAAAAATGGTGTGCATTGATGCCATGGTTGAAACAAAATCCCTTCAGATGTTCGTTCATGTTTATTTCGTGCTATAACTAGTAAAGAGGAAGATCGGTTCACGTGCCGCTTCAACTGAGGTGCTACTGCGATCTGTCACAACACATTAAAGAGCCACAAAATGCTATTGTTTGAATTTCTTAAAAAAAATGTACAATTTGAAAGCAGAAATTTTTCACACCAAAAGTAACCTGCTGTGTCTTGTCTGTCAGTTCTTTGCTCCACGATATATTTTTCACTGCGTGAGAACATCATGTGTGGTGTGAGAGTGCCATGGCTTGTCGGACTTAACAACAGTAACTAAGGGGCAAGTTTATGTCTTACAATACTGACTTTTTTTCTCAGAATTCAGAGTTTATATCTCGCATTCTGATTCCACGTCTGCAGTTTTTCAAAGCAAAAACACATTCTGCATCTCTGTGTGAATGGCTAATAGCACAGATGATTATTTGATCTGCACAGTACTCACTGTATCGGACGTTGGCTTGTAGTTTCTTGGATACGTCAAAGGTTACGTTACCCACATGTTTTGCTACATTGATGAGCATTCCTGAAGGTCTGGTCTGATCCCGCAGTGTACACTTTGTTCTGAAACAACATTTAATAGTCAATACTGATATGGGTTTGGTTTCACCAGAAGTTTGAGGGGGAAAAAAATCGTACCTTTCAGTTGTAGCCTTGACGTTCTAGAAATAATGTAGATAAAAACAAAGATTAATCTATATTATGTGATCAGAAAATCTACTAAAACTGCATTTATTTGACCAAAAATACAATAAAACAGTAATATTATGAAATACTATTACAATTCAAAATAACTGTTTTCTATTTGAATACATTTTCAAAGGTAATTGTGCACGTGATGCTTTAGAAATCATTTTAATATGCTGATTTGCTGCTCAAGAAACAATACTTATCATCAATGTTGAAAAAGCCAAGTGCTTCTTACCACAAGAAATGTGAAGTCATTCCTTCTCAGTTGATCTTCGATAGACTCAATAATGTGTGAGAGAGATAACATCCCTGATCTAATCTCCTCAATCTTCTTCTTAATTATCTCACTCTTCTGCTCCTCTTCTTTCTTCAGCGCAGTCGTCCTGGCTGCCTCTTCAGTTTCTAGAAACTGGTGAAGCTTGTCAAACGCCTCTTTAATTTGGGTCTCGGTGTGTTGGCTCTGCTTCTAAGCACAAAATATCAGCAAATTCAGGCTGCGATATCCATACGATAGTTAAACTGTTTTAATGTTGAAATATCCTCCCGGTACTCACTTTAATATACTCTGCTGTTTCATCCCAGGACTGTTTAATTCGTTCGTAGACTCTGAGTTTCTCCAGAAAGGCCTTTAGTTTCAGCTGGAGCTCTTGCTAACAAATGTTAGAAAGAGATGTGAGACAAATAAAGTTGGGGCGAGTTGTCACTTTTTTATTTTTATTTTTAAATTTTTTTAAAACTAAAATCTAGGTTAAACTAGGCTGTTTCAGGGTAGGGATATTTGTAATATTGGACATATAGAATATTATTATCATATATAAATACTATTACCATATATAATATTACTATTTTTTATTAACTTTTATGTTCAGTTTTAATAAAAAAAAATTGTGCTTTTGTAATTTTTATTAGTATTTTAAAAAATATTTCTATATAACACACACACACATATATGTAATTTGTTTTATTTTTGTGCTCACTTCAGCCTATGATGCTTAGATGTTTTAGCATGATGATTGTTGATGATGAGTTGTTTGTTACAAACCATATCCAAAAAGGATCAGCAGTGTCCAGCTTATATTTGACTTATCAGTGTAGTTCCCACGAAACTTTTGTTTTTGTGAGTTTGAGATGTGTGTCATATAAGGGCCATTAGTGTGCTAAGACCTGTTTGACAAGACAGCTATCATATCTCACCCATTTCTAGTCCATTAAATCTGACACCAACAATCAGTGAAACCGCAAGCCGGTCATTTCAACCAAGCAATTGACTGTTAAAAACTGTGTTTCCATACCATCTGACACTCTGAGCTCTTACCCTGAGTTCCTGTGACGCGTCTGCTGTTGAACGGATGTGGTGGTTCTTATGCGATTTGGCATTTCTGCATTTCCCACAAACTAGTTCTTGATCTTCAGTGCAGAAGAAAGTAAGAGGTTCCCCATGAAGACTACAGAACTCCACCGTCTCTACAGGAGGCTCCTGAGTTGTTGTTTCTCTCATCAGATCACACATGTTTCTCAGCACGATGTTTATGGGTGGGTTAGGGTTGGAGGACACAGTTCTGCAGATGGGACACTCTTGAGTTCCTCGCCGATTCCAGAAGGTTTTCACGCAGCTGTTACAGATGCTGTGAGAGCAGGGTAGGAGAATGGGATCCCTGAAGATGTCATAGCAGATGGGGCAATAGAAATCCTCCTCTGTAAGGGACAGTCTACAGGCCATTTTGCCACCTATGCAATTAAATGTTTTAATTAGTTATGTCTCTCTGACTCTCTTTGTATGCCTGGTCCAGCTGTCAAAGAGCACAAGAGTGTCTCTCAACTGTGTTTACATCCCAGACACCTGCAAATCAGGGTGGAGCTTATAAGCTATAACTTGGTGCTGGTGTCAACATAAATAAAAATTATATATATATATATATATATATATAATAAGGAACAAAACTAGTTCACACACACACACACACACACACATATATA